ATGATGGAATATTAGACAAAATATTTTTAAAGAATGATGATAAAAACGAAGGAAATCATTGAAAAAAAGGTATGTAAATTGATGGTAACAAAAAGTAGTAATTGAGATTTAAAAAAAAAAGTTAATGAGTTATTAAAAAAGTGGTAAAGAAAAAAATAGAAAAAAAGATGACCGCTTTGTGTTTTTTTTACGCTAAGCTTTTTATCTAGTTTATGAAATTGGTGCGTGAATAAAAGTGCTTTCTTCTTCTCATCCTGACCCTACTGTAAAACGACATCGTCATCATCCTGTTACCGGTGTACAAACGATGGGTAATATCGCTAGAAAATACGATTAGCTTCGTCTTTCTACTAGAAAAATAATAACCGACGCGGGAGTGAAGAAAAAGAAGCTTTTGAATTTTATATACAACCACTCGACATTAAATTTAAAGAGCTCGATAATGAGGTCGGTCGGATCTTCTGGAGTGTCTTTTTAATTTCAAATCTAATGAAAAAATATGAAAAATTAGTTTTTAGATTTTCTTTACGGCTGTAAAGAATGACCGTGCAGAAATCAAAGATAAGAAGTTGACAATTTTTATTGATGTGAGGGGAAAATTTTTAATTCATATCATATGCTACTGATTTGTGCATTACGGTACAGGACGGCTTAATAATAGTTAAGACGGTCGTTAGACTTAACGACCAAAACCAAAAATATAAAAAATTTGAAATGTATAGAATGAAAAGAAAAAATGTTAGAGTTTGTATGATTTAATATTAAAATTTTGAATATAGGTATCCCTGATTAAAAATATTGATTGAAAAGTATTGGGAATCAGTCACCCCATGTAAACTGTATATCTATATATACATGAAAAAGAATTGAAAGTATTAAAAATTATTCAAATTTCATCATTTTTAATCCTTTTCAATCAATATTTTTAACCAGGGATATATGCGGGTTATTATTTAGATTTGTACAAATCAATAATTAAACTATCGGATAAATATTTTTTCACGTTGAATTAAAAAAATAAAATTTCATTTTTAGCGATAAACACAGTATTGTTATTTTCTGTTAAAGTAATTCGCCGCATTGTCATAATGCAAGTTCAGGATAAAAATTCAATAATTTTTCAAAGAGACTATTTTAACTGGAATAAGCATGAACCTTTATATAAAATGAATATGACGGCACTTATTTATCTTTTAGATTTATTACTGTCGTAGCTCTTCATGTAAGATTATTTAATTGCACCCAGTGTAACAGTAGTTATAGACACTTAAGTAAAAGTGCACGTGCGAAAATAAAATTTCATTACTCGCGGTTGTTTGTAAGTACTGCAATGACATCTGAAATAAAATCCTCTCAGCAAATTTGACCTAGAATAATTTTTCATATAAATTTAATATTAAGAAAAACAAATTTTTGTCACCGTTAAAAACTGACAATTATAAAAATAATTTGACTATAGAAAGATTAAAAAAATAGTTATACTTTAAATTAAACATTTAGTACTGTTAATTTTAATTTAACAATTTTATGAATTAACTCGGGTCAAGTAAATTGTCATGCCTTGGGTTATAATTACAATTTAGATGGAAATTCGCTGCTCGAGGGTTTTTGTTTTAGGGATCTTCCTGAAAACGATTAACTTTATATCTTTTATTTTTGACCGTAAAAATTGAAATTCTAAATTTGAACTGTGATACTTGATATTATTGTTGAATCAAAAGTTTGTTGAGAAACATTTGATATTATATTTGTATTTTTATAAGAAAGTTTTAAGTTTGCTCTTGCATTTGGACATTCGGTTAGAAGAAACTGATCTTTAAGGTTTATTGTGAAAAAAATTTTAATATACAGTAGAAAGTATTTAAAAAAAGGTTATCAGGAATTTTTGTCATTTAAAAGTTTTGGATAATTTCTGATCAGTAAAAATTGCCATTTTCATCTAATAATTTTTTAAACGAATCTAAAAATCCTCGAGAAATTTATCAGTTTTACACAATTAAAAAGTTAAAATCTGTTAAACGAGATATTCATACGTATGAGGTTTGAATAATGCCTCGAGTTTATTTTTATCAGTATATCTTCTGTTCGCTTATTGTTTTCATCTAATTGTTTTTTATTCCAGGTTTAACTCTCGTAGGCAGCAATTATAAATAATTGTTCTAATAATAAAAAGTTATTTCTGTAATTCTCATAAGAAAAAAAAGGGTTTTATAAATAAAACAGGATGTATTAATAGTAACAGTGACAATAATCTTGGATAATGATTAAGGTCCAATTTATTATATTCTGTATGACATTCGATAGTTCACGTGTACATCTATATGTATTTATATTTAGAATAATACCAAATGTTTTATTCATAAAGTCTGGAGAGATTCGTTTAAAGGTTCTAAGTGTGAATCTGTATATGTATACGTATATGAATTAACTACATGTATATTGTACAATATATTAATAGATATATGCTAATAAATAACGAACGAATAGTTAATATACAATTGATGCATAAAAATATTTAGCGGAATGAAATTATAAAATTGGTGACAGGAAAATAATATACTTGCATGCGATAAATTTTTATCTTAGTAATACTGTAATTGAACTGCCGTATAAAATATTAAAATTTTCTGTACATCTATATACCAGTGTCATGTACATATTTTAACCTGACATTGCAATTTAACGGTTCACGGCTCTAAAAGTGTGCTGGCTTGTCGCGATTCTTGACTTAAAAAAAATTATAACAAAAAATTGCGACACATTTCTTGTTAACTGAGAGATCGTAATCACGCCGAGAACTTGCGGTTTTAAAATGTCAAGTGAGCATGCTAAATTTATTTATATTTTTATATCACGCATTACGATCAAAGTACGATGATATTAATAACAAAATAAAATAATAATAATATAGACTTAAATGGAATTATTTGAAATGAAACTTCACTTCATGGATGTACAAAATAGAAACCTTAAATTAGAACTTTAATTCTCCGGAAATAATCAATGTTACGGTTAATTAACAATACTGCGTTTTATCGATTTACTAGTACGAGTTAACTGGTATGTAATATATGAAACAAACCGCGAACCAATAATAATAAAACGCTAATGATCTTGTGTTAATTCTTAAAGAATTAAATTGCTCTATTAGCAATTGAGTAATTTTTTACGTTTATATAAACTTGCTCGAGAATTATTATCGTAATGAAAATAAATTGTTGAAATATTTTAATTGGATTAAAAATACATTTCGCGTGCTGTGTATAGTTAAAGTGTGATTAATTTCATATAATATCTGAGCAACATGTTGTTGAATGCTGATAAAAAAATTACCTCGATATAAATCTAAAAATAATGTTATAATTTAAATATTAATTAATTTTTATAATAATTAAAATGTATATTCTATTAAATTAAATTTCATTATTTAAATTCTTTTAATGCTATTATATTTATTATAAATTTAAAAATCATAAAAATAATATCAGTAGGTGTGGTAATTTATCCTGAATGAAATTAAGAGCTTGGCCGAATATATAAAGCGTTTGTTGGGATGCGAGATGTGTATGGCCAAGGGTTGATGGGTCACGAGTGCTACATGTTATAGAGAAACGTTATACTACTCGTTATACTAGTACAGGAAGCGCAAGAAGGTGCAATAAGCGAGTAGGAGACTCATGTTTGAGTCCGTAGTTCGTTAAATCAAATCGCAAACGATTATACGTGACTATTGTATAGTTGTTTCTATTACTGTTGTTGTTATTATATTAAATAACAAGTATTATTATTAATTATCATACCATAACCATATTTCCGTTGAAATGATATTAAACAAAATAAATATTGTTATAATGATAAATTCACGGTAAGCACTGCGGAATTATTAATTTTATTCCGTTGATAGATAAAATTAACAAGAGAGAAAGATTTTAAATTTGTTTAAAATGTTATTTTAAAATTTCCCAGGCTTTAATGCTATTTGCATTTATTAAATTACACATGATAGTTTATTTAACGTTGTTAGAAATTGATTCGAAAATTTTGTTAAAATAAACAATTTAATAGAAGCTTAATATAATACTCAGACTATTTTTTAGCGTAAATAAATAAAGTTATTCTTGTTTTGACATAAAATTTACATTTAATAATGCTGCCTATTTTTTCAATTTTTTTTTTTTATTTATTGAGACTAGTAAGATGATTAGTTTCTTCATCTGACGTCAGTGATTTACTTTAGCACCGAGTGCACGCGACGCAGCTGGTTCTTCAAAACATGAGCATTGATTTTGTGATTAAAGACACAATAAACAAAAAAAAAAAAAAAAAAAACGAACACCAACCAATTTGTTACTCTTTTTAATAAATTATAATAATTAGTTATGAATTATGATTCAAAGTTGAGTTAAATAAGAAAAAATTAATCTTTATTAAAAAAAAAATTATTTTAATTACCAATTACACTTACGTCAATCTTACAAGTTTTACACATCAGGCATAAACGTTTGCTATTATTCAAGATAATTGAGACAACATAATTATCTAAGCATTGAAGCTAAAAAGTAATTAATTTCGTACTATAATAATTTATAATAAATCCAACAACAGTTGGTATGTGCTCGATTTATCACAGCGATCATTATAAATTACACTTGCACATTCATCATTCATTTTTTATACCACTAAAAAAATATATTTAATTTATCTTCACTACTTAATTAATTCAGCTCTAATTTTTACAACTTGATTAAAATTTTTTAATGATGAAACCCAATAAATGTAGGTATTAAAAAAAATTTTAGATAATTAATATAAAATCGTCTCAATTGTCTTGAAATATTGTTCTCTCAAGTTTATAATAAATAAACTTGGAGAATCATAAGTTATTTATTTTTAATTAATATTATTATCATAATTATCATTATAAAATATACAATATTCAATTGATTAGATTATATCTTATTATCTTATTTAAGTTATTTGATAGTGATTCACGATATATATTAAGACTCGGATAAAATATCTTCTAAGGTTTTATCATCGTGCAACGGTGAATGTCCAAGAGTCGGATCACTTTCCAAAAATTCACGTAATTCAGATTCAAGATCCGGAACACCAGTCGACTCATTATTGGCCATCAAAGTTGTTTGATTAGGCGTTAAACCGATTTGAATTTGCATTGGAGTTTGTGTTGTTGTAGCCAGACCTATTGTTGAACTTGTTTGTTCATCAGCGTTGACAATACCCGCTTGAATAGGTGAAGTACGAGCTAATAAATTTGTAGCAGCTGAACCGGCACCAGCTCTACCAATAGCAACAGAACTAGCGGTTTGATCAGAATTTGTTTGGTTTAGGAGATCGTTTTCAGCTACTATCGTTGGATTATGAGTGATTGGATCCACTTCCATAGGCTCTGGGCCGCCAACTGGGGCTATTCCCATCGCGCGACGCAGGCCATCAACCGGTGCGATCGCTGATGGCGGCAATTTCTTGGCTATCTCCGTTAAATTTTCAGATATCTTTTCGGCAAGATTGACTTCACTCTCGGGTGCTTTCGGTATGTTTGACAAGTGAGCAGGCGGAGGCCCTGATAACCTGTCATGTTGAGCTTGACGCAATTGTCCCAACATTTGAGATGTCTCGTCTAATCGGCTTTGAAGTATCGTACGATCTTCATTTGACTTCACGTCATCCTCTGAAAATTGACAATTTTCATTAATAATAATCATGATAAACAATTAATTAATAGTTTAGCAAACAACCCAGTTATTAAATTAAAAATTTCAATGAAAATCATTCTTTTTATTTTTAAAAATAAAATAAATTAACGATTTAGTTTTATTACGTGATAAAAAATTTTATACGTAATCCTACGTTTGATCCTTAAAAATTTTCTACAATCAAGTACTTGACCCGAGAAATGACCCTCATTATTATAATAATAAAATTAACTATAATAAGCCACTTTGTTTATGGTGTAGGTTATTGATTAGTTTCCTACGGAATTATAATTATAATTATTTTTTATGTGCCTCGTCATCGTTTTAAGCATTAGTATAATTTATTTTTGACATGCAAGCCTACTATATATTATAATAATCGCAGACTATGATAATAAAAATCCAAGTTACGGCGAGTTGAGGCTTACGCTAAGAGGTTTCTCTAAGATTTTGATTCCACAACTAAACTCACTTTATGTTGCTTTTAATTAATTACCTTAAGTCATAATAAAAATCAAATTAAATCTAATTTATGCTTATTATGGGTTTATAACTTTGACATTTTTAATTCAGTTAAGGAAGATCTTTAAAATCAGTAACTGGGCAGTTCAAATTAACTTAAAATATAAATAAAAGAACAAAAATAAACTTACCCAATTCATCTAAAAAGTTAACATCGATCCCTAATTCAGATAAAGTTTTGAGCTGATCCATATCAACTTTAACTTTATCTTGCCCGTTTTTATCGAAATCATTAAACGGTTTTTCTAACAAATGGTCTATTTTCTTCTCCTCTTCTTTGAGCCTCCGTTTTTCTTCAAGTAGTTTTTTAGTTTTTCTATGATCACCACCGGTAAGTATATCCAACAAATCATCAACCATGGTAAGAGTGTAATCGCAGTCTTTCGCAAAATCAAGTATTGATTCAGCGTACTGTACAGCAGTTTCATCACCATAAGTCTGATAAACTAATTCTGTTTCTTCTTTAGTGAGGTTTGCAAAAGTAGAGTCGTAACTCGGTGCATAAGAACCAAAAGCACCGTAATAAAGTGACTTTACGGGCTTAGACATATTTCGACGGTCTTCGCGGAAACCTGCAAGTACGCCAGTACCGTGGCTTAGTTTACCAATTAATTGACCGAGTGATACCGGTCGTTGATTTGTACCAGGAATTACTCCATCTCCATGAACAATTATTTGTAAGCTTGTTGTACCGTCTTTCTTTTGTCTAAGAAAACCCATTTTAGAGTTAAGTCGTTTCATAGTTAATTTATCCGAAGCAGCTTTAGCGGCCCCGCGTGCTTGTTTGAGTATTTCTTCAGGTGTGAGATCATCCGGCACAGCTTCGAACTTACCGAGACTAGCGAGACGCATTTTACGCTGATTTTCTTTTCTCATTTCCTCAGCTTCTTCATTACGTTCCTCTTGTTCACGTTCTTTCTCAATCTGCTCCTCAGTTACCAGAGTGTCTGGATTGTTGGGATCCTCAACCCCAAGTTCAAATCCTAATTCATCTCTAGCAATATCATGCATATAAGTTAAGACCGGCCTCAATTGACGCAATTTTTCAGGCGTCACCATTTTGAGACCAACATGCAATAATTTTTTTGCAGCTTTGTAATAAATAGTCTCTGAATGATTGTAAATCATGGCGTTATCGCACATCAGCTTAAAATCATCAATAAATTCATTCAAGTTTTGATAGTTATTATCGTCAATTTTTTGCTTTATCGTACTAAAATCCATTGGACTTTTAATAATTGACGAGTAACCAGGCGCGATACTATCAGTCACCGGCCAGGCAAAAAATTGCTGAGGATCACGCTTCTCCATAGACCGCAATAAATGCTCTAAAAGTCGCTGCAACGGAGTACGTTCAGCTATTTTTTTCAAAACACAAGTCCGTGGCTCGCGATGAGGTGACAACGAGCTCGTGCTGAGTCCTACCCTCTGTTCTGAGCCAGAACCAACCTTTGGTGGTGCTAAGTGGTGATTAGTAGCTAATTTTTTAGGTACCTCCATAAAACTTTCATCGACGTCACCAACAGACTCCTGACTTGACTCTTCTCGGCGACGTTTCTTGTCCTTGTGATGGTGTTTGTGACGTTTATCCTTCTTCTTTTTCTTTTTCTTCAATTTCTTATGAGCGCTCACGTACTTTTCGTACTCGGACTCATTTTGGGTCACTGAGTAATTCATACCCAGCTGCTGGTACTGTTGAGACAGCATTGCTGATGAATTTGGTGAATCGCTTCCGTATTCAGGAGTACCGCTGTTACCACCTACTTTAAGAATTAGCTTCAGTGTTGGTTTATCCGGCGTCGAATAAAGTTCTTCTGAAATAATAATTTTATATTTAGTAATCATGATTTTTTAGATTTATTTATTAAGTAATTCTATGATAGCTATTATTATTATTATTATTATTATTATTATTATTATTATTATTTATTCATATTTTATGTAGAGTATCAATGATAATAAATTACAAGCTCAAGAACTACAGCATGCGTCAGCAGTCGCTAAAGAAATATCATATAGGCTTAGCATAAGAATTTTTTAATTTTTAATTTTAGTAAACTAAACAAATGATTATACAGTGATAGTTATTTGTTTGTTAATTATAATAATGAGCGTCCACTTTTTAAGAAGTAACACAAAATATAAGAAGTTGGATTTTTAAAAGTAGAATAATTAAATAATAAAAACAAATTTAAGCTGGCTTTAGTTTAATATTAAATACAGTAGTAATAGTAGTAATAGTAGTAGTAGTAGTAGTAGTAGTAGTGACTTGGTCTTCACTTAATAAAACGAACTGGAAGCGAGGTTGGATGTAGATTTACTCATTACACGAGGAATCCACTTTTCTTACAGTATTTTCAATTTAATAATAATTATTACAATAAATAGATAATAATTATCAAAATTTATTGAAAATACGCTATAAGGGTCGGTAAGCAAAGCATTTAGTGGCTTTTATGGCCACAACTTAACAGCCAGTTGATTGAAGTGCAACCACTTTAAAAGTTTTATTAATATTATAATAATAATTTTATTATTCAATGTTTTTTTTTTTTTTTTTCAGTTGATAATTAGGAATAAAAAGAATCAGCATCGACTGGGTCGCACTTCAATCGATGATACAAATAATACAAATAATATTTACGTATTTATGTATGTATTTATAATAATAGAAAGGGATTTGGGGATTAAAAAAGTAAATCCCGAAATAAAAGTTTTTCTAGCTTTTCTCTCGTGCAACTAGTCGGCAGTTACCCCTAACTTACTTCGGTTCAGGAAGTTCTTGCTATGGAACCGCCGTATTTTCTCTATTACTTCCCAATAATCCACCTTATTACTTCTACTCCAATCTCACTCTCAGTATGTCCATGGTGAAAACGCAGTCATTATTCCTGTACACCATTAAACTATGAGTAAGAAGGATTCATATTAAAATAATGATGGATTATTTATTAAAATTAATATTATATTTTAAATAAATTATTATAATGCTATATGAATGTTAGATATGAATTTTTTAATAATTAAGAATAAAAAATAATAGTGATGATACATCAACTGTTGATACCGTTTCATCAAATTTATTATGACTTTATAAAGTTCTGTGAATAAAAAAATACACATGAGTATTATTTATAACCAATAATCATGAAAATAAATTCTGAATAAGTAACCTTAGTAATAAAAATTGATCGTTAAGTAAATAATGAATTTAAATAAAAGATAAATAGTGACAACTGACAATTATAATTACATAAAATGATTGATTTCTTCAGTAAAAAATAATAATAAAACTTCTGAACCGAGATAAACTGGCTTCCAGTAATATTGAAAGGTTATTTAAGATTTATGATTATATTTATGATCGTAGATTGTAAATAACACTCAAATGAATATTTTTGTACAACAGCAATTCAGTCGTAATAAATTTTCCAAAATGTACAAAAGTCGATGCAACACCGTTTTTATATTTTGTCCATGTACCTACAACAACAACAACAACAACAATTATTAATAATTATTAATACGCTATGAATATATGAATAAGTTATTCATGTTAATTAGTTGTAAATTTATAAATATTAATTTGTTCCATTTATGATGCCATCATTTATTTTATTCAATCCTTCGTAAGATTAACTAATTAAGTTGAGATGAATGATTATTTACAAATTATTTTACAGTTCAAAAAAATCAATACCATTCAGATTCAATTATTTTACAATTAATAGAATATAAGTAATAAAAAATTGATTATTTTAACGTCTGATACAAAACAATTTTATTGTGGAGAAGTTAATTGAAAAAAATGCAATGTAAATACTTTAAACTGAGAATTCTAACAGCGAATAGAGAAATGACTTTAAAACTCCAAGTTTTCTACAATCATGCGTGGGATTTTAAATAAATAATGAGTAATTGACAAATAAATGAGTAAATAATAACATAGTTTACCAATTAATTTCGATGAAAAATGCTCGGAGAAAATGAATCTGAGACTTGGACTAAACTTTTCTGTTTTGCGATCAAACAATGAGGTAGGGTTTCAAGTAAGAGTGAAATAAAAAACAAAAATAAAAAGAAAAAAAATACAACCCGGTATTGAGAAACTATAGAAAAAGAATACTTGTATAAATGTGTGTATTTCTTACCTTCGTGACGTTCGCGTTTGTGTTTTTTATGTTTCTTGGGTCCCATAATTTGCTGTTGAGGCCACAGTTTGACGGCTTATTAAGTACGACGTTTTAAATAAGAAAGGGAATTGTTATTTTTTTTTTTTTTTTTTTTTTTTTTTTTTTACAGATCGACGCGATTGTTTTTTAACACATATACGTTGTGAGAGTTATGGATGCTGACGAACTGTTTGGCGGCCATTTAATAATTGCGATTATCGACTTGTACCTTAGTGTTGTCTTGTAATCGATAGTACTTTCAGTCGACATAAGTTAAGGTCGGCTGCACAAGATGGCGCCTTTGGTTAGATTCCAAGATAGAGAGTGGAATATTTGAAATTTTCAATTAAAAGTATAATTTTTTTTTTCATAAACAATAGTTAAGCAAACTTCAACAATTAAACTTTGATACAGGCATAGTATTCTCTTTTGCAATTATCGCAGAGTATAAAAATTCAATTAAAAATAAAAATATCACTCACCATTTTATCTAAAATTCATCGCGAACGTTCTGTAAAAAAAAGATTTTATTAATATTCTTATTATGATATTACTTAAATAGTAAAAAATAATTTTTTACCTCTGGAAAAATATATAATCAGCAACTGAATTTTTTTTTCTTTTTTATAATCACACTGAATGTAATCACAACTATAAAGATTCAGAAATTTTTTTTTAAACTTAAACCACAAAAATAATTTTTTTTTTGACTGTAAACTTTTACGCGGGCACGAAAATTCGACACTATTTTCAAAAAATTTACTCGATGATTTACAAAATTTAATTAAAAAAGACATTTTCCGATTTATTTCTGACAAAAATAAATATAAATTAATCTAAGACACTTTTAAAACAACTGAGATGTATAATTTTTAATATACAATCCAAGCTACGATGTTACAACCAACGAATTAATTTATACTGACTATTTTAAGACTTGTCACTGAATAATTTATACGTGATATTACTTACACATTTACCACTGTTAAATCCATACCTACATCAATTTAAATAATTACATAATTAATACAGAAAACTGATGATAATAAATAAACCAAAGTTGATCAACAATCATGACAGTCACAATGGTGAGTGGGTCGCAGGTGCCGTGTGCAAGAGCGCCCGTTGTCCGTTACAAGGAATAACTGCGCATGCGCGCGTTTGAACAATATGGCGTCATATTGTTCAATCCGGCACAGACATTCGATAACAGCAAATCGCGCTGTGTGCTTCTTCGCAGAGTTACGAAACTGCGAGCTGAACAATAAAGCCGGTGGGTGATGTTTAAATTTGTTACAACTATTGGAATTAATTAGTTAATGTGTTAAATAATTAAAAATAACTTGTAATAATTGAATGTAAGTTGTTTAAGTTCTTGTTTTTAGATGTTCATTGATGACAATCGCGTTTCAATAGAATCTCAGCTTATTGTTGTGGAGCCGGTTTTTAATGCGTGTTAGATTTTAAAGATGTTTTTAATGAAATGAATGATATCAGCAGGCGTATGAAAATTTTTTATTTTTTTTAAGAATATATTAATATTAAGCAAATATTTTATGACACTGAAGTTAGCAGACGTCTAAAAATTTTTGATTTTTTTTATTAATTAAATTACAATTAAAAAAAATATTTCTAAAAAATTGCACTTATAGTTTTTCAAGTTTTTTACATGTGAAATTTTTTTTTTTAATTGTTTATTTGAAATTTTTTTAATAAAAAATTTCTAAAAATTTTGAAATGTCGGCTAACTTTATTTTCATAAATATATTTCGAGATTATATCAATAGTATTTTAGAATTTTCCGATACTAAAAGTGATAGACACGTTTTTCTTTATTTTCATAAAAATTGAATTATAATAAAACAAAATTTAGTAAAAAAAAGTCTACATGTAGAAATTTGAAAATTTTTATAACAAATTGATGAAAATTAAATAAGCCGACATTTAAAAATTTTGATAATTTATTTTATTAAAAAATAATTTTTAAAAAATTAAAATAATACTAAAGTTAATTAAAACAAAAAAATATTTTTTAAAAATTGCACTGACAGTTTTTAAAGTTTTTTGAAAAATGAAAATTATTTAAAAATTTTGATAATTTATTTTATTAAAAAATAATTTTTAAAAAATTAAAATAATACTAAAGTTAATTAAAACAAAAAAATATTTTTTAAAAATTGCACTGACAGTTTTTAAAGTTTTTTGAAAAATGAAAATTTTTTTTGTTATCATTTTTTCAATAACAAAAATTCTAAAAATTTTTAAATGTCAGCTAACTTAATTTTCATAAAATTAAAACAAAAATTTTCACATGTAGAAAATTTTAAAAATTATCCGTGGAATTTTTTAAAAATAGTTTTTTAGTTCTAATTCTTAACTAATAAAAAAAAAAAAAAAATTTTGGAGTGTCGGCTAACTTAATTTTCATAACAAATTAAATTGTTATAAAAGTCTTAAAAATTTTAGATGTTTTCTGATTTCAGTAAGATTATAATTTTTTGTTAACATTGTCATTTTAGACATTATTTATTTTTATTTAAATTTTATTTTTATCTAATTAAAAAAATTTCTAATGTCTATTCCATTTACACTCATTAGTCAAAAAGCTTAAATTATTACAAGTAATTTTTTACTATTAATATTTCAACATATTTTTTATCGTTTCTTTAATTTTGGGGTCGGTTTGACGAACATTATTTAATATTTACTAAATATTTTTTTATTTATACAAAACAATTATAGTTAATATTGCATGAAAATGGTAAGATAGATTCAACAAAAATCGATTAGACAAACACTAGATAGATGCTGCCCCCTTTTATACGTTTTCATAACCTCGGCAGTAGTAAGTTGTCAAGATTCAAGAACCGGTATTATTATTTTATTTATTTTTCTCTGTCCGCGTGAACCTACTGTACGTCAATACAAGTAGTTTGACAACCGGCATACGTATATACACCTGTATGCATTCATATTCAAATATACTTCATCACACATTATCATCACCATCTCCATCTTCAGCAGTATCCAAGTCGTTATTTCAATAAACCATTTTAAATAATTAAAACTGCCTTAAATTAAATAAATAATAACAAATAACTTTTTATTTCTAGATCAATTTTATCATTGGAGTTTAAAAATTCAATTGCTCACTGAGCATCACCATAAGAAACTCCTGTACTGGGCACGTGGATTGATTGATTCAATTTCAAAAGCACGAGTACGTCGCGTGTATCAACAATCGCGTGCATGAAGTGTTTATGTGTATGTTTATATTCGGTAGCTCGATACTGCACATATGAGTAAAAAATAAGGAGGGAGTAATGCAACTAAACGCATCGAGTATACATGCCCTCATATAACTTATATATTTGATATTACACACATCATCAGTCAGTATAGTTTATTAATTGTAATTTAAAAAAAAAAAACCGGGTCTATTTTGTCATTCTATTTAACTTGTCTTCTAGTCTATTTTTTTAAATTAATTTTTTGTTGTCTATTCCCCTCTAACGTGTGGGTCTCCCACTGGGATCCATAATATGGGTAACAAGTAGTTAGTCACACAACTACTTTGTATGTATACACACATACATGTCTGCGTATACATTTGAACGATAACTTTCCTCGTTTTCTCATCACATCATACTGTCCAGACCAAACATAACAGTCTCAGTCTACGTTAATCGCCGGGTTTATTCACATGAAATATTGCCCACCGGTTTTTGTATTTTGATTTATAAAATTGGTTCAGACAAAATAAACAATTTAGAAATATAAAAAGGTATTAGTAAAAGTTATAAATATATATTTTATCTACTCAGCGAATGGAGAATTTGTTTACAAAACGTCGTAGAAAAAAAAGTGCGGGAAATTAATGATTTAAGTTTTTTTAAAATCGTTGACAAGTACTATTTTAATTGTGACTAGTGAAATTTTTTTGATGAATGACATTAAAATTTAAATTTTAAATAGTTGATCAATCAATAAAAAAAAAAGACAAAATGCAGGAACGTTTTATTGTGACGCCGTCAAACAACACCGTAGGACAATATGAATGCGGTACGCTCCAATCTAATCTAGCATCAGTTGAATTTGGTGAGTGGCTATATTATTATTCATTATTTATTATTTAGTATTATATATTATTTGAAAAAAGTTTATGAAATTTTTCGCTTTCAAAATATCTTTAGAAATTTCATGAATTGATCAATAACCATTGATAATATTTAGTATTTTATTTTATTGTTCTTTTCTCTGATAAGCTTAAATTGAATTAATTCTTTTGTTTCTCAATAGCAAATATACATATTCAAATGTATGCACATTAATACATATATATGATTATGATTACAAGGTGAACATCTATAGAGCTTCAGTAGTTTTAAAAAATATTTTATTATGTTTTAAAATACTCAAATCCATTTTAGTAAATTAACAGACAAGGACAAATGAAAAAAATAAATAACGAATTTATTTTAACTACTTTGAAATAAGTCTAATGACATGAGCAAACGTTCAGTGAAGACTTTCGTGAGGAAACGTCAAAGAATTTTAAAAATAAATATCAAGTGTCATCTTACCAAAGTCGTGCTAATGACCTCGGGAAAAAAAAAATTTTCTGGAGCTTTAGCTTTACAAATATTGATTTTTTGGCTTGTTGTGTTATTTATTTGTTTGCTCATTATTCTTTATTCGTTAATTATTTTAAATTTATTTGAAATTTTTGAGGGATTTAAATAAAAGGCTCTGAACCATACAACCCAATATATTTAAAGCGATAATTAAAGTATCATCTGCTATCGTTTATATGAATCATACATTCATACTGTCAACAATTTTCAAATAATTAACGCGGACTAGGCGAGAATGCAGCACTGTTGACCCCCATAATTTTATATTTACGATTTAATAAATAACCAGTAAAAAGTGGATATATCTAGATTCTTTCAAATCAATCATATATATTTTCGATTTATTTTAAACTGCTATTAAATACGGGTAATTTATTTTGGAGTAGAAAAA